TTTTTGAAGAACCATCATATTGTCTTCCAGAAACCCACCTGTAGGTCTTCTTTGGAGAAATGTCTATTCAAAGTCTTTTGCCCATTTTTCAGTTTTGTTTTTTATTGTTGTCTTCAAATACACTTTATGCTCCTTAGGGGCAGGAATCATTTGTTTTTGTTCCAAAAAAAAAAAAAAATCCCCTGTAAAGTTTAACAGAATGTGTATATATACATATTATTTGTTGAATAAAAACAARCATTAACATTTTCAATCTTATCCCTTTGTACCTTATATCAGTTTCAGGGTTGTCTGTGTTAGGTTGCTAAAAGCTCCTGGGGGAAGGACCACAGCTATGCAGGCTCTTCCAGTACTTCCATATGCTGCWCTAAAGCAATCACTTATTACATGCTTTTAAGGTAGACCTTCCATGGCTTTGGCAGCATGTAATATCCTGCCTGGTTATTGTGGTAAACTTCTTGTTACAATCTTTAAAAATATTTAATCTTCATTGATTGTTGAATAACTTTCTGGATTCTAGGGCAATCAAGGTGTTCTCATAGAATGGAGATTTTTCCTATAGATGAGGAGGCCAAGGAGAACAGCCTCAACACTTTTGTGGGCTTTATKTATTCATGGCGCCGGGGATGGAACCCAGGGCCTTGTGCATGCTGGGCGTGYGCTCTACCCTGAGCTGCATCCTCATGTCCTGTTCACTTTGTTAGTGATTATAAAGGTCACTTGATTTATTGGTAGCTCTGGAAAAAAATGACCATCTTAAGTAAAGGAAGAGTCAGTAAAATGTCTGTTTTTGAAATAAAGGGTCTAAGAAGAAAGCTTAATTTAGTAATGGAATTTTTAATAAAACTAATTTTAGAAGTAAAAGGCTTTCCACTAGAATCACAGGAAAATAACTTTCTGGTTTTGTTTTAAAGAATGAGATACTATCGTTCAAAAATTGAATAAGTATTTATTGTTCCAGAAGGTACATTGCTTTTTATACATATTTCATAAATGATACAGGATTTTACACATGTTCAATATTTTGCTATTTGTTTTAAGGACTTTTCTCCGAGTCCTCCCTCCCTTGCCTCCCACACACCCCAAAAGGATTTGCTCATTGCACTGTGCTGTTTCTTCTTAAAAACCCTGACACAAACAGGATAAATGGTTTAAAAATAATCCACACAACAAAAATAAATGAGGGAGGGGCTGAAGGACAGGGAAGGAAGTTGGAGGCGGGCTGGGGGCGGGCATGCATCCTTTCATTCCATCATGCCAGTGAAGGGTGGTGGCGGGAGCAGCAGTCTGGCCTTTGACCTCTGCAAGGCACCTGGAGTCTGGGTTTGTCATTTAAAGGTTTTCTTTTCATACACAATGATCCCAAAGGAGGAAGAAAAAGAAACTTCTTGTCACATGAGGAGGGATGAGTCATGTGAAAGAAAGACAATCAGATGTGTAGCGAGCCCCCATCCTCCTGGCCATCCTGCCCTCACAGTCATTAAAAACATGATATCACACACAGATTCCTTTACTCTCCACATGCAGATGTCATCTGGAAATGCGGTAGAAAACATTTTGACAGAGTATAAGATCAATTTTTCTTTCTCTCATTTGAATATAAGAAAAATAGGGTGGAGAGGGTAGGCTGAAGGAAGCCATAGAAATGTATTCCTGTATAAAGAGAAATTGCACCCTTGGAGATCCACACACTTGATTTATAACGACTGGGTGGTGGAGGTGGGAGAGCTCACAAACAGTGTGGRAGTGTGTCCTTTAAGATTAATAAAGCCCCCAGACACAGCAGTGCCATCTGGGTGGCCCGGAACTGTCATACAAGCAGATTAACAGCAATGAGATTATTCTGGTTCTGAAATAGCTAAAGAGCCATGATTTTTAGTCAATTTGTAAACCTTACATCTTCCTGATTTGGTAATACAGCTGAACACCCTCCTCTGATCTGAGTTGTGGAGGGAGAGGGATAGGTATTTAAAGGAGGGAAATTTTTCCTCCTCTGAAAGACTAATTATAAAAAACAAAACAAAACAGAGAAACTTCATGCAGTATTGCCAATGATTTCTAGATACTGATCCAGAGCACTGGGATATATAGACATTGAAGAAGGTATTAAGGGAACTCCAAAGTGTCAATTATCAGTCATAGTCGGTTCCAATCATCATTTGGATAAAATCAGTGTAACCAACAGGTAGTTGGTCAGAAAGGGGGGACTAGAGGAAGAGATTCCTAGTAACTTTGCAGAGACTGGGTTCAATTTAAAATAAATGCTAATGATATGGGCTCAGACTCTGTTGCCACCCACGTATCATGAGGATTTGCTTTTCAGGTATATTTATTTATTCCTATGTCAAAAATAAGAAATGTTAAATTAAAAAAAAATAGAGCTTGGTGGGGTGCTGGTGTGTTACCGTTTTGCTGACCCTGTGAAGAAGATGCAAGAAACCAACACCCCCAGCATTGTTTTCTCTTTGTGAATCTCTCAACTATATAAATGCATCATTTTCATTCAGAAACTAAGATGCTTGATTAAGACAATATTCACTAAGCCCTTTGAGCTTATGTTCCACAATGCCTGATCCTCAGATTTAACATTCCTTTTTTCTCTAAGATCCTTTTTGTTTTATAATTAAAGGTAAAAACCCTCTACCCCACATGGCTCCCAGCTTCCACCTGCAATGCTTTAATTAAAAAGGCAAGAGTTATAAACAGGTGTTCTTTCTGCCAGGATTCACAGGCTCTTTGCAGATCAATCTTTTTCACCAATTTGTCGGAGGGGGAGATGCACTTGCAATGGGTCTCTCAGTCTCTTAAGATCCATTTCTGCCTAAAATAGAAACAAAAGGTAAGTAAAACTGACTAGTGAAGCTTTCAGTGACATGACTGCCTACTGAGAAAAGGAGACTCTTTCCTCCATTACCATGAGTCAAAAACATCATCTCAATTACTCTGAAAATCAGAAGACAACAAAGAATCCAAAACAAGCCTTTGCAGTCTCAGCTGTCCACAAAGCCTCCAGAAAAGTCAGTGCTACTAAAAGGGTAGGACTCAGATGCTCTGGGGAACATCAAAATATACATGTTTGATGATGATTGTCCAGTGATAAGCCCATCCACAAACCTTTGCAAGGATCCAAAACTTTAACTTGGGCTACTTTGATTTTGATGAATACATCTTCATTCCATTTTTCTGTAGTCTTTTGTGAATTCCAAGATTTTTATTTATCCAGAGACTCTATATTGCTAATATCAGTTTAAATTTTTCACTTAGTTAATTTTAAAACAAAGAAATGCAATCAACTGCAGCACTTTCAAAACCTCCCCAATTCTTAAACCTCATCCTCAAGTTGGATTAATTAACATGGGGTGCACCGAAGCGTCTGTATTTGTAATAGCTCCAGGGATGTGATCAGCATCCCCTCCAGTTGAGAACCATCAGAGGCAGCAACAGAATACGGTGCAGTAAGTTGAAGCAGGAAGATGGAGTAAGTCTATTCAAAGCATCACTCATCACCATAAAGGACCCCCACCAAAAAAAAAAAAAAAAGGGCAGAGGAGGTCCAGAGGAGTGCGACAAAAGCACTGAAGAGGATGGAAGGCCTTCTAGGGACTGATGAAAAACTGCGAAGGTCACAAAACATTCCAGGGAAAAGGAATAAGGATTAGGAATGAGAATTTATTCACCAAAATCAAAGACATCAGATTGAAGGAGGTACACCCAGAAGTTTCAAGAGGTAGCTTCTGTGAAAAATAAAATACATCATTCTTTTTAAAAAGCAAGTTCTAGTTTAATAACTTCTGACCTGTGCCTGACAGTTCTTATCTGGATTTTATGTTTGCCCCATTACTATCACACATTGTAGTCTTTGTGTCAATTATTGTAGAAAGATTAAAAAGAAGAGAGGAGAGTAGAGAGTTCTAGTTGAAAAATCACTCAAAAGAAACAAACTTGGGGTTGGGGATTTAGCTCAGGGGCAGAGCACATGCCTAGCACGCTCAAGGCCCTAAGGTTGGTCCTCAGCCCTGGAAAAAACCAAACTTTTTAAAAGGTAGGAAAGCCTAACTTTCCGTGTGTAAGTGTTAGCAGGGTAGGCAGCACCATCTTTTCAGCAATTTGTGTTGTAAAACCTACAGAGGTGCTTGTTGCTAAAATAGTCATTTTTATTAACTGAGGAGTAATTTGTACAGGAAAAAGTTGGTTGGATCACTCTTTCAGTTTACACAGGTGAAGTACCGTGGTTATGGATAATAATAAGGTCATAGAAGATGGGGTTGGGATTTATTTTAATTTTTTCAAAACTTACCTGAGCAATTGCATCCTTGAGTTGATTATATTTTTCTAGGTCAAAACGTGACTTTTTGGCTCCTTTATGGAAAAATAGTAAGTATTGTCTGTCTCTGGCTTCTGGATAAACATATTCCTACAAAAACAAAGGAGAAATCAAATTATTAGTCCTTAGCATACTATCCTCATAAAGTAAGTATTTACTGTTGATTAGATTCAATACAAACACTCATATAAAGACACTGAAATGTTCTGTATTGCTTCTTAAATATTTTCTCTTTTTTTGTGTGTTTTGAGGCAAGTTCTTGCTATGTTGCACCGGCTGACCTTGAACTCCTGGGCTCAAGTGTCTTCCTGCCTCAGCCTCCGCAGTAGCTGGGACTACAGTCTTATGCCACTGCACCAGGCTGAGATTCCTCTTTTGTAGAMATGATGTATTCATTTCCATTGCCATGCTGTATTATATTATATGAGCACATTACAGTTTATTATCTATTCTGCTATCGATAGCTAATGGGCTGTTTCTCAGTTTGAGTTAGTATGCATGAATGTGCTTCTAAAAACACTTCTGACTCCTTTTCTCCGTTGAATCTTCATTCTCTCTGTACTTTAAATTCCACAGTTATAATTGTTTTATACATTTAATATTCATGGGTTGGGGTTGTGGCTCAGCAGTAGAGCACTTGCCTGGCATATGTGAGACCCTGGGTTCGATCATCAGCACCACATAAAAATAAATAAATAAAATAAAGGTATTGTGTCCAACTACAACTAAAAAAAAAAAAAAAAAAAAAAAAATTCCCTTCTATCCGCTCCCAGACCTGCCATTCTTATTGCCTTCCTGTTTCTCTCATTTTTCATCTGTGAGATCCTCCTGCCTGAAGAACATTTGCTTCCAACACCCTTTAGTGTTTCTTTTAGTGCAGATCTGATGGTGTCAGATTCTGTCTGAAAATACTTTTATTTCACCCCTGTTCTGAAAGGACGTATTTTGCTGAGCACAGAATTCTCCTAGTCATCTGCTCCCAACACACTGAAGCCGCCTCTGCGCCGTCTTCGGGCTCAGTGCTGCTGGGCAGTCGGTGCAGCCCTTTGAAAACAAGCTTTTCTGTTACCCTTTGGCTGCTTTGAAGATTTCCCCTTTGGCTTTGGTGTTTGAAGTTTTGCTATTGATGTGTCCAGATGTGGATTTGTTTTTCTTTATTTTGGTTGGTGTTTATCTGGATTCTTAAATCTGTAAACTGATGTACTTCAGCATTTTGGAAAATTTTAAGCCAAGCTCTTAAAATGTTTTTTCTCATTCTCTCTCTTCTTCTTTAAGACTCCAATAAAATTAAATCTACATTAGAACTTTTCACTATATCCTATGCCTTTTCTGTATTTTAYATCTTTTTGTCTTCCCATACATCATTTTGAATCGTTTCCTATACATATATGAATAGTTTCTGGCTTACTCCAGGTCTCTATTTCTGTCTTTAGTTAGGTCTAATCTGTTATTAAATCCATCTATTATATTTCATTTCTAGAATTCTCATTTGTTTCTTTAAAAATAAAATTAAGTTATCTGCCAACGTGCTCAACCTTGACTTTCAGCTCCCTAAAAGTAGTAAGTATAATTCTTTTAAAGGCTATATCTGAAAATGCCAATATCTAATCCCTCATCTGTGTCTGCTTCTAATGTTTATTGTTTTTGTAGAAATTTCCTTGTGCTTTTTTATTGTATAACTTTGCATTTACAAATTTATTAGTAAAATAACTTAAACTCTCCTCTCAGGGATGTTTATGCTTCTTCTGCCTGGGGCCTGTGAGCACTAGCCCTGTGGGATTGCCAGTATTCTGCAACTACCCCAACCTAATTCATAGGACTGAAGTGAATTAAAGAGGCGGCATGGTTTCTAAAAGGGTCTATAACAGGCTTATCCTTCTGCAGTGGGGCCTGCAGAGGTTCCAAATCAAAGAAAGAGTGTTTGACCTATGTTAAGAGAGCCCTGGACACTAGGCTCTGTAGCTTTGGTTCCTCAAGGTTATTATTATGGTCTGGATATGAGATGCCCCTTTCTCCAAACTCCTGTGTTCATGCAGGAATGTTCAGAGGTGAAATRATTAGTTTGAGAGCTGTATCCTAATCAGTAGATTAATCCATTATGGATTAATAATTCAAATAAACTGACTGGGTGGTAATTGTAGGCAGTGGGACATGGGTAGAGGAGGTGGGTACCTGAGGACATGGCCTTGAGATCATATCTTGTCCCCTGGCTCCTCATTTTCTCTGCCTCCCAGCTGCCACCAGCTGAGCTGCCTTTCTCCCCCATGCCCTTCTGCCATGATGCTCCCCTCCACCTCAGGTCCAGAGCAATAAAGTCAGCTGACCATGGACTGAACCCCTGAAACTGGGAGTCAAAATAAACCCTTCCTCCTCTAAGTTGTGCTTGTCGAGTATTTTCGCTACAGCAAAAGAAAGCTGACCAACACAGTTATCAAGTATGGCTCAGGTCCCCGTCTCTCCATTACACTCCCCCAATCTAATCAAATCCCCAGAGGGAAAGGCCCACCTGAACACCTCGCCTGCCTGCTCGGGACTCCTCTTCTTCTAATCCTTGCTGCTTGTTTTCGTCATTTTGTTAGTTTCTATTATTTTCAGGCAGACGTGGATTATGTTTTGTCTAACATAACTTATCCTGACGGGATTGTGTGGTTACCTCATGTGAAGCAGCAAATATTTAGTTATTTTTTTAAATTTATTTTTTAGTTGTAGTTGGAAACAACACCTTTATTTCACTTGTTTATTTTATTTTATTTTTTATGTGGTGCTGAGGATCGAACCCAGGGTCTTGCACATGTGAGGCGAGCGCTCTACCACTGAGCCACAACTCCAGCCCAATATTTAGTTATTGATGAGGATGAATTTAGACTGAAGAGTAGAGAAAAAGTCCGTGGAAGCCTTTTAAAAATGGATAAAATTGAGGTCTGAATCTCTAACACTGACTGAGGAATAACTGCTGGATTAAGCACTTGAGGCAAAGCCCTCTACTGTCATCTAAATTGCTGTTACTAGGTTGTTTACCTCTCTTTGTTTAGGATGTAAATGGAAATATAAGCTAAATTTATTCAAATATATTCTATGTTCTCTTTTGGGCATCAGGCATTAACTGAGTAACTAGATGTTAGAATCTATTCTAGAAATTTCACTATCTGACTCTGTGCAAAAAGATACAGCTTAGTTATGAGAGTCAGAATGGGAGAGGTTGAGAACAGGGAACACACAAAAAATAAACACAAGCAGTGGCCCATTCTACACTATGATATGAATGTTTAGTAGCTTGGGTATAGGATAAAGGGCCTGATGCACCCCAAGTTAGGAGTCTGTGGAGTACTTACAGCAGGAAGGCAAAGGACAGGGATTCTAGGGTACAAAGAGACTGGCAATAGGTCTAAAGAAGAAAGGGAAGCAATACAGACAGTATGTTGTGGTAAAAAGTTGAGATAAAGATGTCAGTAGCCTAAAAGTCTGGATGAGGTCAAAGGAGTGAGTGAAGGAATAAAAGGGCAGAAAGAAAAGAAATTGTGATCATAAAGTTGTATGTTGATTATATCATAAGTGATACAGTCCAGGAAAGAAGGTTCTGGATGGCCATGGAGGTGATTTACTGGAGCAGAATACAAATGATGGTTGAAGAAACTGAAAAGAAGGATATTAAATGGCAGCCTATTGTTTCTTTCATTACTGCCCACCCCCCAGACTCTTTTTCTAGACATTTTTTTTTCCTGATTGTTCCATTCCCCAAAGAATATTTAACACTAAAGTTACAGTGTATATCTTTTTATGTACTGTAACACCTGAGATGTCTTTACTCCCCAAGAACCAATATTCACCCCCTTGAGGCAACATCCCCTCTGTTGCAAATGACCAGGCTGGTATGTGGGACGGGTGGGCAGCCTGCATGCTGATTGTCCATTCTTATTGTCAGTCTCCTTTTCCACCTGGTACTCAGGTGCTCCATATTCCACTGCGTTTCATCATTTCAAGGAACTTGCCATCATATATTTTTTGTAGCTTAATATACTATTGGGATATATTTAGACTGCTAACAAATGAAGCATGTCAGTGTAACAGTATAGAAGTTTAAATGTTACTGAACAGGCCCTGTGCTTCATGGTGTTAATTACAATAGCAGTTAGGTAAAAGAATATCTAACATAAGAAACAAATGTTTATATTTTATTTGGTCAGTGATTCCTGGTTCATAACTGAGTAAGTGGCTAACTTGTTTACTACTGCTATTTTGCAACTTGTCACTTGGGGGCAGCAACAATGTTTTGGGAATCAGAAGTGGAACATTTAACTAATAGGAAAGATAAGGTATTGAATAAAGATCCTACCACATGATAATGAGAAGAAAAAAAGTGCTGACATGTGTTCAAGTCCAATACTTTGCATTAATCTTTAGTTCAAGAAAACATTTACAAAACAGCTTTTAATCAGCAGTAATTATTTCTCCAACATGTTTCTATTTGATTTCTAGATTCAGATTAATTATGGTTTTCAGAGGTAACTACTCATAAATAAAGTTAACAGAAGATAGCATGATAATTGAGTGGAAAGAACAGCCTATGGGGCAAAACACATCTGAGTTCAGTTCCTGGTCCTATGGCTGTCATTTATTTTATGTTGAACTACACATACTATTTGGAAAGATTATTTATCTTCACTGAGTCTCAATTCCTCATCTTTAAAATGGGGGTACAACATAGTTGAGACGAAATATGTTTATGTACATATTTATGTACTGATATAAAATGCCTGACACATAATTAACCTCAAGAAAAGGTAGTTCACAGTAAGACCAAGTAAAAGGCCTGAGTCTTTCACAGAAGTATGAAGAATGCTTAATCTTTTCTCAGTAATCAAGGAAATGCAAAGTCTACAAGGAAATACCATTTTGTTCTTGACTAACAAGAGATATATCAAAGGTGCTCTCTACATTCAAAGGATAACTGGAAAAGCTCTAGTTTGTGGCTGAAAGCATGGCTGTCATTTATTTTATATGTTCAATTCACTCAGAGTATTCTAGGTGTAAGGTACCATGTTAGTGGTGAGGAAATAAAAATTGAATAAAACCAAATGCCCAGCCTCAAAAGATAGCATAATCCAGTATGAGGGAAAAGATGTTGCTCAAGATGGCAGGAGATGGGTGAAATGGGAGGCATGGTGTTACACGGGGATTCAGAAGGACTGACAGAAGTCAACTGGAGAGAAGAGTCAAAAGTCCACGAAAGACAAGCATTTAAGTAAACCCTGGAATACGGCAGGAAGGAATCAATAGGGGGAACTTTCTAGTTGAAAGAAGGTGTGAAGTGGAAATGAAGCTGCAGGTAACTCAGGACGTCTTGGGGGAACAGAGACCATGATTTGGTTGTTTAGAACACACAGAACAGACACAGAGGCATTTAGAGTCATTGAAAAGGACAGACAGCAACCAGCCATGAATCCCCAGATTGAAGAGGAGAGAGTAGAGACAGACAGGAGCCTGTCTAGACTGTGATTAGGTAGGAATGATGCAGCTGTTCACTTTTGTTCATCCAGTGACAATATGAATCAGAGAAGGGACTAGATATGTCAGGCTCTGGGCCAACATTAAAGGCATATGAACAATTTACTTTCTTTTGTCTTCACTAGACAAGTTGGGAGGCCCAGAAAGGTTAAATAACATTCTCATGCTTTCATTTTCCGCCACATAAATAGGCCCATGACCACTGATCTAACCACAAAACCAAAATGCCAATGTTCACTAGCAGCTTTGAAAATTATGAGCAGCACCCCCAGCTTTCTCCCGGCACATAAGGAAAGGAAGACACTTCTCAAGTGCCTGAGTTATCTTAAATGCTTGTCATTCAAGGGAAGGCCAGGCTGGATTTGTGATGGCATCACAGATACCGTTATAAGAGTCAACAGGAGCTGGGGATATACCTCAGTGGCAAAGCACATGGGAGGCCCAGAGTTCCAGCCTCAGGCACAAAAAATAAAATAAAATAAAAAAAGGTGATGTATCTCTCATTTTTTCCAAAGTGACACTATGAATTTTCTAAGATACTTAAAACTAACACTGACAATGAAAATTTGGTCTGGATTAGATTCCTATATTCAATAAACGAGCCTTGGCTGATGAAGAGCAGAATAAGAGTGTGCAGTGATTAAGTATCTAATTTTCACCTCCATACCACGAAGTAAAAAGAACAAGAAAACATTTACCCTTTAATATACATAGAAGTAGTTCAGGGTTTAGTTCAAGTATTTGATTATTCATCATTAGTTCTCCATTCCAAGAGCTCAATAAAAGTGTGTGACATCCAACTGTTCAATTAATTATAGGACACATTAAAAAAAAATCAAGCCCAACACAGTGAACAAATTATCCACACTGGCCACTCTTCTCCTTTGCTCCCCTATTCCATTCTTATTAGAGCCTATTTTTCTGAATGCAGTGGTATATACGGCTATCTTAATGACCTGTGAGCTGCATGAGGGGCTATGGCCATGCCACATACCTACCTCTCTAGCTTTAACACCGACAACAGTAGTGCCTGATACATAAGTGACACACATGCACATGTGTGTGTGCATACATGATAAATGAGTATTTAAAGAGAACTAGTCATGGAAAAAAATGTGAGAGAAAAGAGAGCTACTGACACAATCAAGACTTTATTACTGTCTCTTAAGAAAGTTATTTGAAGAGGAGTCTTACCTGGCGTGTCATTACAAAATATGCATACATTGCCATGGCACTTCCATAAGTGATAAAGTAGGTGACTGGCTCCATGATGTCCCAGGAATATTCCCACCAGGTGAGCCGGGCCAAAATGCCAAACTGTGTGGCCATGTAGGCAAGGCCACCCCATAGCACCAAAGTGGTCCTCTTCTCAGCTTTTCTGCTAATTTCGATTCGTACCTGTTGGTAAACATGCTCAGTTGTAAGTCATCTGACATGGAACCAACTTAAAAGTCTTTTTATAAACTATTCTATGCCTGCTAAAGAAAAAAGGCTTATAATCAAGACACAAATTAGACTCAATTCTAGTAAAATCGCAACTATAGTTTTCACTGAATAAAATATCTTACAGGGACAACTAAGATTTTGTATTTTATTTAAATTTCATCCTAGAAATAAGTGAAAATATAGGGGTGAGCTTCAACAGCTCTTCATCCAGCTATAGGATTATCTTCTTTGAAAGAGTAAAATGAAAACATATCAAATGGTCTCTCACTCTTGTGTATAAGATTTAACCTCTTATCGGTTTTAACTCAAGTGCTATACTAGGGGCAGAAAAGTAGGGTACATCAGAACATGGAGTCTGGATTCAAGTGGGTGGGTTCAGGGCACTGATCCGAAAAACACCACTAACTTTATTATAGAGTCATTCTGAGGATTAAATAAGGGAATGCCAGTAATCAGTACAATTCATGGCATATGCTAAACATTTGTAAGAAATTAGAAAAAAGCACAATATTATAAGCGTTTATTCTCTTCCTTATCAATGAAAATAGTCACAGGCCATACAACATTTCAGGGATGGACCACATGCATGATGGTGGTCCCACAAGGAAATAATGGCGCTGAACAATTCCCATCCTCTGGTGACAGCATCACTGCTGTGACGCCACAGCACAGTGTGTTACTTAGGTGTGTGTGTGATGCTGGTGTAAACAAGCCTACTGCCCTGTTAGTCGTATAAAGTATAGCAATACAATCACGTATCGTGCACACCTGATGATAATAATTCACTGTTAGCAGTAGGTTTATGTATTTACTAGATTATATTTTTTATAATCATTATTTTAGAGCCAGTCCTCCTACTTACAAAGAATTCTACAGTTACATTAGCAGCAGCCTCACACATCTCATGCTCATTCTGCATGAAGAGGCCATGTTGGGTGGGTGACTAGACCATCCAGGTCTGTGTAAGGACACTCTAACAAGGTCTCACAATGAAATCACCTAGAGACACATTTATTCCTATCACTAAATAAACCATGACTGTACTTACATCATCCTAAAAAATTAGGGGTATTGTGGTCCTTGAACATTCTAAAAAGTATTTAGAAAAATCAGTCATAATCCTACTACTCTATTAGCATTACTTCTGATTGTGAATATGGATATATATATATTGTGTATAGCTATATGCATAACACATTTAAAAATTAGATCAGAGTACAAACATCAGTTTAGAATTTACTTTCCATAGCATATCATTCATGTTTATCATTAATATTTTCTGTAGCAAATTAGATTTACATAATCATTTTAAGAGCTGTATAATATTCCTTACAATATTCATTCGTAATTTGGCTAAAATCATTATCCACTATACTAAGAAATTATTGCAATCTTTGTTTCAAAGATGGTAAATCTGATTAAAGGCAGTGCACTGAGACCTCAGAGCTCTAAGTCCATTATCGAGGCTCCAAATTATTCCCATTCCTGTCTTAGATTTGATATGGACTTGTAAGGTTCAGTCTTGTAAACTAATGGGCTAATTTGACAGATAATGACTCAATTACAGGAAACTCAGAAGAAAAAACAAACACATGTGCGTATTTTGTAGGTGAAAAGTCTGATATTTCGATGGTCACCTTTTCCAGGGGAGCCAGCTGCTCTTTGAGGTTTTCTAATCTCTCGATAAGCTCCCTCTCCTTGTTTAGCTGGTGCTGCTCGATGCACAGTGTGGTGTAGAGCTGTTGGACCAGCGTCTTCACGTCATTCAGCGTGGCTGCGTTTTCATGGCTTAAGAGGTCTGAAAGAAAGGGGTTAAGTTTCCTTTAAAAATGTACGCCTTAGAAATGACAAGGGGGCTGGGTTGGGGCTCAGTGGTAGAGCGCCTGCCTAGCATGTGTGAGGCACTGGGTTGGATTCTCAGCACCACATAGAAGTAAATAAATCAAATAAAGGTATGTGTCCATCTACAACTAAAAAAATTAAAAACATGACAAGATTACAAGGAAGATTCATCCATTATAGATGTCCTACCTTCAGTGTTAAACTGAAGGAAAGTAACAGTTATTTTTAAACAATGAATATTTTTATTTTTTATTTATTTTTATTTTTATTTTTTTCATGTCTAGGTTTCCCTTTTTCTTTCTTTTTTTTTCTTTTTTTTTTATTGGTCGTTCATAACATTACATAGTTCTTAATACATCATATTACACGGTTTGATTCAAGTGGATTATGA